TTTTTCAGTTATTAACAGGAAACTCCCAAGGAAGTCTTCAGGTGGTGGTTCTCTCCGAGCTCCTCCTCCTATTTTCCTTTGCTTTCCCTTTTATTCTTGACCTGTTTTTTGTTACATGATGATGTGACTCAAGTTTGGAAGCTGCACTCTGCCTGAGAATGGGGGACAACACTGTCCTATTTGCCAGTTTCATATGAAAATATCAATGTACAAGCCGAGTTCCCTCCCTCTTCTCCATCTTTTGACTTTTTCTCTCTAAAGTTTTTCTTTTACTAAACTTTTTTTTAGAAGTATTTCCTATGGTCACATTACTTATCCAACGAATCACCAGTTCTAGTGTCTAGCAGAAGAGTTCTGCAGTGTTGCCTCTGCAGCTTCTAGAACAGGGGTCGGCAACCTTTCAGAAGTGGTGTGCTGAGTCTTTCATTTATTCACTCTAATTTAAGGTTTTGCGTGCCAGTAATACATTTTAACGTTTTTAGAAGGTCTCTTTCTATAAGTCTATAATATATAACTAAACTATTGTTGTATATAAAATAAATAAGGTTTTTAAAATATTTAAGAAGCTTCATTTAAAATTAAATTAAAATGCAGAGCCCCCCGGACCAGTGGCCAGGACCCGGGCTGTGTGAGTGCCACTGAAAATCAGCTTGCGTGCTGCCTTTGGCACGCGTGCCATAGGTTGCCTACCCCTGTAATAGAGAGTGGAATGAACTTATAATGTCTTATAATTTGACATAGTCTTTGTTAGCCTCAGAGGTGAGGATTACTGCATGGGTGGTGGTGAAGTTAGCTTTGCTTTTGCTGAAACCTTCTACTAGCAGTTTCACAAAGGATTTTCAGACCTTTAAAAACATATACACCTCTACCCCGAAATAATGCGACCCAATATAACATGAATTCGGATATAACGTGGTAAAGCAGTGCTCCGGGGGGAGGGGGGCTGTGCTTTCCGGTGGATCAAAGCAAGTTCAAAATAACGCAGTAAGATTTTTTGGCTCCTGAGGACATCGTTATATCGGGGTAGAGGTGTATAAGGAAAAAATAACTGAAAACATTTCATACCCCTCAAGACTGTGTGAATATATAAATACTTCATTATAATATACAGTGAGTGCTTGGATCTCCTCATCTTTGTAGTACTTACACATTGTACCTCTCAAGATACTAGTATATTATTATATGTATAGCCAAACAGTAGTGTTTAAATGTATAAAATTTCTGCAAAACTATCCATCGTACATAGTGTTGTAGGATGGATGCTTTTAAATGTATTACTATTCACAACATTTTTGTATCTTCAGCTACAATGCTAATCTTAGTAAAGTGATTTGCTACTTGGTTTAATAATGTGTTTAATTTAGTACTATGAATAAATTAGTTGGAGAAGCAGACAGGGAGAGATGAAACAATTTCAACACAGTGGAATGGTGGCAGTTACAGGAATTTAAATAGCTACAGATTTTTCTTTAGTGCTCACAATTTTTTAAACTATAGTCTTTGTCATCCCCATTAAATCCCTAATTATGACTTACATGAAAACTACTCTCTTTGGAGAGAGGACTGTAATATACATTCAGGATTTCATTAATGGAAATATAGCAATTCTGAGAATGTTCTAATGTTTTAACATTGAATTAAACTTGAGACAAACATAATATTAAATTGATTTCCTATTTGTAAGAGCTAAAGGGATTTTTTAAAATTCAGGTGAATTCTCTTGTCTCTTCAATGAATGAATTAATTACTTACAGTGATCAGCTTTCAATTGGTAAAACACAAATGCAGAAATCAACTAATATGTTAAGAAATACAGTATAGTGTTAATTGTTTAAGTTGCAGTAGCAAATACGTAGAAACATACTGATGCTTTAAAATTTTAATACTGAGTTTTGGTATTTTAATAGGCTCTTGTGTAATGTTCAAACAGCTGAGCACAAGTTAAGTAAATGCTAATGGGAAAATGTTCTGTTATTTAATATGAGAACAGATGGTAACTAGTTTATTTGCTAAAAGCTACAGTTTCTCAAAGTTGAATCTTTTGAACTATACAAATATTCCTGCTTCATGTGTTAATTGAGGGACAAATCAACTTTTAACATTCTTGTTTCCTATCATATTAAGATGCATTTTTTTATCATAATGGTGTAGCCAAATGTTTTTAATTTCATCTGAATGCTTTTGGCCACATATGTTTAGGCAGGAAAGAGGTTGACAAAAAGCATGCAGTTGCATGTTTAACAAATCTTCAAACTTTGTTTTGAAACATCACCTCTAAAACAAAAAGCATTGAGTAGGTTTATCCTATGAATAACCCTACTCCATTAAGAACATGACTTTTTATCCCTTGCAGCTATGTTCAATTGCATTTTATCTCTGCTGCTCTTCCACTCTTATTTCACTCTTGACCCTATTTCTAGGAGATGTGCGAGTAAGAAGTCGGGCAGGATTTGAAACAGAAAGAAGAGGTTCTCATCCATACATTGATTTCCGTATTTTTCACTGTAAGTATTTGAAAGCAGATAAATGACAAATACATGAAGGCTTCCATTAATTCTAACTTCTGGGCCTCTAAAAATTAATGCTATTAGCTGCTTATGTAACAAGAAACTATTCTTGAACTTTTCAGAAAAATCTTTCCACCACTTCATCCTTGTTATCCCAAAAATAGTACAGAAGAATCCCAATGCTCAATATTACTTTATATTCTGAAAAGTATAGTTTAAACTTATGAATACATCAAGACTAGACACAGGTTTTTGAATGAAATGAGGTATCATCTTGTGTCCAGCAATGGATGCACTTATTATTTGCTTGGAAGAGACAAGAAGAGTACTTTTCCAGCTTTTACAAAGAGTTAGATGGGTCTGGAAGTGGAGACCTTACACATAGGATGAAAATTGAAAAGATCTGCAGTAGGTTTCAGTGTCCCTGAAGAGATCTTAATCTTTTGAAAGGCTCCATTAATTTAGCACATGCAGATAATGCTGAAAAATGTGGGTGGGAGGGAATCAAACCTAAAATGAAACTTAAAGCAGCATAAGAAAATAATGAGTTTTTAAACAATTTGTTTAATTGGAAATGTGTTAGGAAACATAATTAGTCTTTAAAAAAAAGTACTGTAAACTTCAGTCAGAATTTGACTCCCCCCCCTCCATTTTTCTTATGATTAAACATCCCAATACTATGGTACAAAAGCTGCAGTATCCACAGGATAGTCCAATGGTTAGGGCAGTGACATAGGATGTGGGAGACTTAGGTTCAGTTTGCTTCTCTGCCATGGACTTCCTGTGTGACCTTGAGCAAGCCATTTAGCCTCTCTACGCCTCTGTTCTCCATGTGTAAAATGGGGATGATAATGATTCTCTAGCTCACAACGGTATTGTGAGGATAATACGTTGAAAGATTATGAAACTTTTTGAGATCTACTGATGAAAACAGCTATATAAGAAATAGTCATTATTATTTATTTTTATACACTATAACATGAACATTCAGTAAATATGCAGGTAATTTAAATTGTAACTCTTTAAAAATCACTAATAAATTAAATGTACAAATATGAAAGGCACTTTAAATGTCTTGTTACAAAGTATCCATGTACATTAGTGTCACAGATATCAGTACAGTTCTGTGAATATGGGAGAAGGTGGAAAAAATCTTCTGTTGGCTCTAATTAAAATGTGGCTGTTATAATGACTTAAATGACAGTGGCAGAAAAAAAAACCCAAAAACTGTTCCAGTTATTCCCTCCATTGCACTAACTTATTTTTAAAGTAGGTCTAATTAGTGGTCTAAAACCCTTAAAACTAGTTATTAAAGTTACACAAAACAAGTGAGAAAACAAAGTTTGAAGAGTATGAGGTACTGAATTCTCCAGTGAAGGGGAATTTAGATTTTGTCACAAAAGCATTCCTTTTAAAAATTGGTAATCCTCCCAATGTTCAGCAAAATAAGAAATTGCAGAAATAATTCGCAATTTATTAATGTTAAGTTTTAAAACACATTTTATGAATGCAAGTCATTGACATTCTTCATGTTCTTATAGACAAATTGATACAAAGAGGGTATAGTTTAAAAAAAGCCACCTCTGTCTGGCATTGCTATCTAGATTTATGTACTGTGCTCATCACTGTGTCATCAGTCTAATATTTGTCGATCAGAGCTTCTGCTCCCTGAGGCTGAGAACCCAACTTTTAGTAACATTAAACTTGGTACCAAGAAATATCTTGGCTACAACTTTTTCTTGAGCCAACTGTTGTGTGCACAATTCCCCAGCCCTTCCTAGGAATGCAGGTGTGAGGCCAAAATGGGAAGCTGTACTTTGTTTCAGGCCCCTACCCCATGGAACAGTTTTTTCCCCTATAATTCCCCTGCAAATGGGTGGATTCCAGCCTGGTTTTTCTTCACTTGTAATCCTGCCATGTATCAATTGAAAGTAAATCCTTCTTTCTTTCCTCTCTGCAGTCCTGTTCAGGGTTTTTTCCCCCTTAAGCCTCTTCAAGCAAAGATGCACTGTATCTTACCACCAATTCAGTCTCTGGTGGAGACTAGTTTTGACCTCTTCTTCTCAGCCCCCTCATTTTCTTTCTCTGGGATTCCAGGAGGATTTTGTAGGAAGAATATCTGTATTTAGCGTCACATATGACGAAAACCCTGAAAAATTTCCCCAATTGAATATAAACTACCATTCAAGAGGAGAAGACAAGCTTGCCATCTTTTTGCCTTGGGCAAATTTGAAGAGATTCCAGTTCATTTTTCTATAATAAAGATGTTTGAAAACAGGCTGTATTCGCTATCCATCTGTTGCCACTGGGTGCCTTTGTCACCCTCCCAAGAAGTTTCCTTCCATCCCCCCAAATCTGAATGTTTGATTTGACCTTTCATGGCTGAAGGTGGACTTGGGTTCACATCCCGCTCAAAAACAGCCAATCTTTACTTTAAAGAGACTACCATGTTTTTAGCATCAATCCTCTGAATCTGCTTAAACTGCAAGGATAAGTAGTGAGAAGAGCTTTTGATTTGGAAAGTACTCACATATATGGAATATAAGAATTGCCAGACCTTTTCTAAAAGAGGAATGAAGTGAAGATGGTATATCAGGTGAGGGCATAACACAGATTTATGCATAGGCATCATAATAGTTTCACAATTATTTTCCTTATCATTCTAGCCATCCAAATGTTTTTAGTTTTCTTTTTTCACAACTTCTGAAGGTTGAGCTATCCACAGTGACATTCAGGTCTTTTTCCTGAATGGTTAATCCATTAGAACTCAGCAATGTGTATGACCCAATTATTTCTTTCAAGGTTGTATTTGTCAAAATTGAATTTGAATTGCCAGTTTGAGTTGCCAATTCAACTAGCTTCATTAGGCCTCTCTGATATTCCTCATCTTCTCTTGCATTAACTAACCTACATTTTGTCATCTGCAAATTTTGCCATTATCATTACTTACTCATTTTTCCATATCATATTAAATAATTACACTGGTCCTAGTTCAGAACTTTGGATTGTCCCACTGTTAATCTTTTGCCATGATGACCTTTTATTACTGCTTTGTTTTTTCTGTTAACCAATTTGTTCTGTGCCAGTACTTCCTGTGATAACTTATGTTTCTTTGATAGTCTTTTGTGAAGAATTTTATTTGGACTTCAAAACAAACCTTTTAACAAATTGTCAACTTGTTCTTTTACTTGTTCTTTTCTTGACAGGTTCAAAGAATTCAAACAGTTTTAGAGGCACAATTTTCCTGTAGGGAAGCTGCTGTTGTTTATCCCTATCAGAACATAATCATGTTTTATAATTCAACAATTTATAATTGTTATCATTTCAACCAGTTTGACCTAGTACTAAGGTAAAACTTATTGGCCAATAACTCTTGGGATCTCCTCTTGTTCCTATTAAGAAAAATGAATAAAAAAACAAACAAACAAACAAACAAATTAAAAAAAAAACACCTAAGTACAACACTTGCTACTGATTGCACATTTTTCTTAGGAACTTAAAGAATGAAGTGGTGAAGATGCTAATTGATACACATGCCTATTACAACTGCACCTCCACTGACATAAGAAACCCAGTCAGAAAAAGCCATCTTCAAGAACCTGTCAAAGTGCTTGGTGGAAGTTAATTTGTATAACATGTTCCAGGATTTTATTCTCCTTGAGGCCAGTTTATTAAGATCCTGCATTCTGACACACACTACACTATCGATTTTGCTTTGGTGTCCTGGTGACATTTTTTGAAGATCACTCATATGTTATCTTTTAGAGTCCCAAATTCCTAGAAAAGATCCTTGTTTAGAACACCAGGTCTTGGAAGAGAGAACATCTTGCTCTACCTTAGCTGATGCTCCTTCATCTAGGCAAGAAGCCAACTTCCTATCATGATCCTCTGGAATCTGAGATGAATGAGGTGAAACTAGCTTGATGTGACTATCCATCCCTAAAATGGGTTTTCAGTGTCTGATAGATCTAATAGTTTCTGCATTGATTGCCCTTTGTCCATAACCATTAAAAGGCTTTCTGGGCACCCAAACAACCTTAATTCTGTCCTTTAGCGACACCCTGCAGTAACAGTATTTATTTATTTATTTAGTCTTTGTGATCCTAGGTTAGATTAAACTCGCTTTTAAAGATACATTAGATTTTACCTTCTTTTTCCTCATGTTGTCATTATAGGACCAAGTTAAGTTTGTTTGGATGCCCTAACTGTGCATTTCCATACCTTAATATGTTTGGATTTCTTTTACACTTCACTCTTAAATTTCTGGTTTTATAATAACAATATTTACACTATCTGAGTATTGTATTTTACCCTGTCAGCATTAACTCATCAATTAAGCTGGGCTCTAGATCATGTGTGGTTGGAAGTGTAGGCACAGACACAACGACCCATTCAAAGTTGGAAGTTGCGGGGAGGAGAGGAGAACAGCAAAATGACTGTCTGTCTTTCTGGCAAGTAGTCTTTTCCTTTAATATGCCTCAGAGATACTAACTGTCCTTTTTGGTAAGAAGAAAGTCAGTTTAGATGGTCTTCAGAGGTTGTTATTTAAATCTTACTCTCTTCCCTTTAAGTAAAAACAAGACACCAAAACATGAAGGGAGGAAGAAAATGGTATTCTCTCTTGCTTTCTTGCTTGCAAAATAGCTGCTGGGAAATTGCAAGGCATAGCATGTGGCCTTATCAAGCACTCAGAGATCTGACAACTCTGTTTAAGGCATTGTTTTTAGTTTTCCTTTCTGGTCATAGGTTCATATCAGAGTTGCAAAAGGCGGATTTGTCTTGGACAGCTAAAACAGATTTCTTCAGAGACAGAAGGCATAAAAAGAAGATGGGAAAGAGGAGAAACAAGGTGTTAAAAGAAAATGGAACATGAGGGAGGAGGTGACAACAGTAATACAGTAACTCCTCGCTTAACGTTGTAGTTATGTTCCTGAAAAATGTCACTTTAAGCGAAATGATGTTAAGCGAATCCAATATCCCCATAAGAATTCATTTAA